ATCCCAAGGCATGGCCTTCTAGGCCCTCCTGGGAGTATCTGGGATATTCATCGAGGCCTGAGATTCCAAGAGTGGACACTCTGGCTGAACCAGAATTCAGATGTGTCTCCAGCACTCTGTGACCACTGAAATTGCTGTTTAGCTTTCAGCTCCCCATTGGCTGTTCTGTGCTGGGCCTTGCAGAGTCTCAATCCACACATTCATAGTGTGAGATTTGGCCAAGGACTTGCAGCAAACTCTATAAGATTTCTGGGGCTCCTTCTCTGCAACTCCATCCTTTCTGATACTCTGCCACATACATTTTAGCAGCCCTGAGCAGCAGTCTCTGTTTCCTCCACCAAACAACACTGAATCCTTCGGGCTGGACTCTGTTTCCTCATGCTATCCTTGAGGGTTTGGAAACTTTCTCCACCAGAAAAATGTAGCAGTCCCTTCATGTGATTCCCTTCTCACAGATTGTACCTGGAACTGCCTATTGCCCAATGCCTGAAGACAATTTCTTCATGTACTTTGTGCAGCTTTGTAGTTGTTTATGCTGGGAGACTATCATCAATACAGGTACTCCATCGTGGCCACAATTTGAAGTACTATTAATATCATATTCATTCTATTCTAAAAGTAGAGAAGACAAAGACTAACAATTCTAAGAAAAATGGAAAGTTCAAACGGGAAAAATAAAGTTCAAAGAAAAAGAAATGCAAATCCTGCTGACACACAGGATAAAATGTTTAACTTCCCTGTTAATAAGAAAGATACAATTTTAGGCTGGGTGCAGCGGCTCACACCTGTAATCCCAGCACTTTGGGAAGCTGAGGTGGAAGGATCTCTTCAGGCCATGAAGTGGAGGTGGCAGTGAGCTCAGATAGTGCCACTTGGGGTTACAGAGCAAGATCCTGTCTCAAAAAAAAGAAAAAAAGAAAAAGATACGGATGTAAACAACATCCTGCAACCTCTACCTGTGGCCCTGATTGCTAACAGGGACCAGATTTGCCTCCAACCTTTAATAACTAGAAAAATGGAACAAAATATATAAAACAATAGTTTTCAGACATTGGAGAACGGTCGAGCAGAAGTATAATCCCTAAAAGAAGGTGAACCCTACAGTGTTCACCCTCGGAAGCAATTACAGGCTCCAGCACAGGGAGGGGAATCCAAAGTCCAGTGGTCGTGGTGGATTGAGGAGACAGAGATCAGAGCTTGGGAAGGTCTTCAAGGCCGGTAGAATTTGTGAGGTACAGTACCACGGAGGAGGTGGGAGAAGAGAACGCGTGTGCTCTGGAGACCTATGGAAGATGCCCTCAAGCCCTTGGCAAAGGGCTGATATGGACATATGTGAGAAGAAAGGACACAGGGAAAGAACCGCCAGAAAGCAGACTGAAGAATTCCCAGAGCTCACAACAGGCTAGAGATAACTCATATTTTCACTGGTCAGAATGAAAACACCTCATAACACTTAGGAAATGGAAAGGAAGCCTTAGAAAAGTATTGCCTTAATAGTGGGGCTAAATGAGCACTGCAGTAAAGGCTTCTCTGAAACTGTCCGAACAAAGATTGAAAGCAAATCTTGATAGATCCGACTTATTTCAAGTAACTAGTGCTGGAACAGAGCCCCACACTATTTAAAGGAAAACAAAATCCAAAAATCACAACACAAAAGCACAATGTCTACCAGTCAATAAAAAATCACCAGGCAATGGCCAGGCACAGTGGCTCATGCCTGTAATCCCAGCACTTCGGAGGCCGAGGGGTGCAGATTGCCTGAGGCCAGGAGTTCAAAGCCAGCCTGGCCAACATGGCTAAATCCTGTCTCCACTAACAATACAAAAATTAGCTGGGAGTGGTGGTACCCAACTGTAGTCCCGGCTACTTGGGAGGCTGAGACATGAGAATCACTTGAACCCAAGGAGACAGAGATTGCAGCGAGGTGAGGTCACACCACTGCACTCCAGCCTGGGTGACAGAGTAAGACCCTATCAAAAAAAAAAAAAAAAAAAAAAAAAAAAAGGCAAACTAGAGCCTATAGCCAGGAGAGAAATCAATCAATGGAAATAGGCCCCAGAGATGATGTAATTAGTAGATACGGATGTTAAAAAATATATTATAAATATGTTCCATATGTTCAAGAAGGCTAGAAAAATCTGAACATGATGAGAAGAGAGAAATGGAAGATATATTGAAAAAAAAAACAAAAAACTCACAGGCTGGGTGTGGTAGCTCACACCTGTAATCCCAGCACTTTGGGAGGCTTAGACATAAGGATTCCTTGAGCCCAGGAGTTCAAGACCAGCCTGGGCAATGTAAGGAGACCTATCTCTATAAGTAATTTAAAAATTAGCCAGGCATGGTGGCATGAACCTGTAGTCCCAGTTACTCAGGAGGCTGAGGCAGGAGGATCACCTGAACACAGGAGGTCGAGCTTTCAGTAAGCTGTGATTGCACCACTGTACTCCAGCCTGGGCAACACGGTGAGACCTTGTCTCAAAATAAAACAAAAAAGTATTACTAGAGATGAAAAAGTCAACTGTGCAGATATGGGATTAAAAGCAGTTAAAGTCAGTGAGGCCAAGTGTGGTGGCTCATGCCTGTAATCACCCCAGCACTTTGGGAGGCCGAGGCAGGAGGACTGTCTGAGGCCAGGAGTTTGAGACTAGCCTGGGCAATATAGTGAGGCCTCATCTCTAGACAAGAAAAGAAAAGAAAAGAAAAGAAAAGAAAAGAAAAGAGGAAAGGAAAGGAAAGGAAAGGAAAGGAAGGGAAAGGAAAAGAAAAGAAAAGAAAAAAAAGTTTTCAAAAACTTTAATGAAGAAAAGATAAAGACTTTTTCACACAAAAGCCAGGCTGATCACCAGCAGGCCTACACTCTGAGAAGTGTTAAAAGCAGCTCTTTGGTCAGAAGAAAAAGGATACTAGATAGAAATTTGGATCTACACAAAGGAATGGAGACCACTGACATCATAAATACATGGATACATTGAAAAGATCCTATTTTCTCATTTTTTGATGTCTAGAAATCATTGAGGCAAAACTAGTAACATACTGTGGGGTTTATAACATGTGGAAGTAAAATGATGACAAGAATAGCACAAGGGACAGGTGGGAAAATGTAAGAATACTACCATAAGGTGGCGGTCACAGTTGAGGGAGGTGATAAATCTCTGTGATTCCACCTGGAATACTGCGTTGCTCCTGGAAGTGGGAAGAGGGAGTTTCAGAGACTTCCCCTGGGCTCTTCCTACTATAGGGGCTCATACCCACAGGTCAGGGAGTAAAGTGACAGCTCTGTTAGCTTCTAAGCATACTCGTATCGGTTGCATATTTAGTGACAGAGAAATGACAACCGGATGGGGCTGCGGTCTCTTCATCCAGGGTTCCATTTATTACCGAGCCTTCATGTGTCCTCAGGCTTGTTGGAGAGGGGACATGGTGGCATTGTGGATCTTATGGTGTCAGGGTCAGCTCTAATACTACGTAAATGACCCTCAGTCTGGGTGTTCCCTTTTCATCAGTTACTGTTACTCTTATCAATGACCCCAGATCCTTCTGGAGAATAATTAATGAATACCATGTGATAATGTTGCAGGATTTTTTCCACAAATACCCAGACTCCCCTACAATCCATGAGCTGTAGGTCTCAATTGTCTCAGTCTGAAAACTGGCTAGGAAATTGCGATTTTGTGTTGCAGCCTTCTGCGGGCCAGATCTCGTTGTTGTTGTTTCCTGCCACCACCTGGCATCTGCTGTTCTCGCCTTCCACCATTCCCACTGACACCATGAAGCCTGGTCTCATGGCAGCATCTCCTCTTGTTGATCCTGGCCTACAAAGGACAGTGCCACTGAGTCTCTGAAAGATTCAGGTGCCCTTCTCACTAGTGCCTTCCTTGTTAGCCTAGAGAGGGGAGTTCCTGTGAGGCCTCCAAGGGCACATAGGCAAGTGGTGGATTCTGAATCTGCTGGCATATAACGAACCATTCCAACATTCCTACCTCCCTGTACTTTCCAGCTTCTCTGATGCTTTGCCAATGCAGTTCTATAATCTACACCTAATTCACTGCAGCAACTGTTCCATCCACATTTCAAGGAGCCACTCCAGCAGTGTGTTAGAGCCCGAGGTGTCCTTGCCAAGTCATTAAATCCTGAGAGTGCTCCCAGGTCAGTGTATTCTCGTGTATACAGCCTTTAGTCTCCCACCCATGTGGGACACCTAGAGTAAAGATCCTGAAAGTAGCAGAACAGCAATTGATCAAGTGAACCCAAGATATGACTAAAACTATCTCTGATGGCAAAGCCTTTGATGACAAGAGTCTGGCTCATAGAAAGATAGCCCTGAGCATGGCACCTCTGACCAAATCCCTCGCTCTGACCTACTGAGCTTATGAGTCCAGCCTTGCTCACAGTTGGGGTTGGAGGAAGACCTCATGGAGTCCACGCGATAACTGCACTTCCTGGTTGCCTGTCACTGCTGATTCCACCCACACCGTCCTCTGCCCCAGCCAGCCCAGCCCTGCCATGCCCTGCCATTGCAGTCAGGCCTCTTTGGGGGTGAGTGACAGAAAATTCACTTGAGTTGGCTTAGGCAAGAGGGGAAGCTCATTGGTCAGTAAGTTAGCCACGGGCAGAACAGGGAACAGTTGGGTCTCAGGAATACCTGGACTCAGAGTCACCAGCACTGTTAGGATCTGCAGGCTCCTTCCCTTGTGTCCGTCTCCACCTCAGTCTGCAGATCAGTTTTGTGATCTCAGAGCAACTTTCCCCACAAGGTTGGAGTCAGACTGCTGGCAGTACGAGGCTTCCATCATCCTGGTTTTGACCCCAAGAAAGGACGGGACTCCCCTCCATTAGTTCCGATTCAGAAAATTCCAGAAAAAAGTTTCTGCTTGGTCTGGTCTGGGTTGGCTGGGTAGCTGGGACACAAACTGCCAAGCCCTCTAGTGTCATGTGTTTGAAGTAGGGTGGGGAGATGTATTAGTTCAGTGTGCCATGCCAAAATACCACACACTGGGTGCCTTAAACCACAAACATTTATTTCTCACAGTTCTGGAGGCTGGGGAATCCAAGAACAAACTACCAGCAAGGTAGGTTTCATTCTGAGGCCTCTTCTCTTGTCCCGTAGGTGGCTGCCATATTGTGTGCTCACGTGACCTCTTCTTTGTATTTGTGCAGAGAGAGTGAGTGAGGGCACTCTCTGATGTCTCGACTTATAAGGACACTAATTCTACTGAATCAGAGCCCCACCCTTAGGACCTCATTTAACCTTAATGACTTCTTAGAGGCCTCATCTCCAAATACAGCCATGCAGAGGGTTAGGGCTTCAACATAGGAATTTGGAGGAGAGAGACTTTCAGTCCATGATGGGAAGAAAAACTATTCATGAGAAAAGGGGTGCAGTGCCCAGAAAAGGGGGCAGACAAAATGTTCTCTCCATTTTCCCAATATGCATCACACACACACACACACACACACACACACACAGCCCTACCTTTGTCCCTTCCCCACAAGGCCACTCCACATCCCATGATTATTTATCTACCTCCTATCCTGCTCTCTGGAGCTGCCCCCTTCCCTAAGTTGTCCTGTGGCTCACTGAATGCTGCATACAGGTAGGTGCATGTAAATGTAACCCGGGGCCTCCTGGACCATGTGTGTCCTGAGCCCAACTATGGGACTGGGCAGGAAGTGGGCCTCACCCATGTCTATTGTCCTCAGGCAGAACCTAGCCCTGGGACATGAGCTCAGTGGGTGCTGCAGCTTTGTTGGATTCACCTCAGGCCCCCTTTCCCTACATCCACTTATAAGGTTCCCAGGGCCTTGATACCTCTGTCCTTGGAAGAAAAGAATGCAATTACCCAGCTTACATGAACCTGCTGGTGGCTTCCTGCAACAGAATCACATAATTTTCTAGTTCAAGAGTCTACCAAGTGACTAGCACAGTGAACGAAGAAAGACCTACAACAAGGCATATCATTGGGAAATTCCAAGAACCCAAAGAGAGAAAATCCTAAAATCTTCCAGAGAGAAAAGACACGTCATATGTAAAGAGCCAAGACTCTGCATGACACCAGCTTCTTCCCAACAACACTGGGAACTAGAAAGTAATAGAGCAATATTTCCCAATGTGAGGAGAAGGTACATTTAAATTACAGCATTACATCCAGTCAAACTACTAATCAGGAGTTGCGGTAGAACAATGACATCCTAAAATTCATGAGGGTCAGAAAGCTTGGCTTCCATTCATTCTTTCTCTGGAAGCCACTGGAAGCTGTGCTGCAACACAACGAGAGGATAAACCAAGGAAAAAGATCTGGGGCCAGGGAACAAGAGATGCACACAGAAGTAAGCAGGTAGAGTTGATCTACTACCTGCTTGAAAAAACTATTTAAAAATCCCTAACCCAAAGAAGGCCAGAGCTCTCATGAATCTCACCCAACAGATTTCAAAGTCAAAGCTGAGGGCATTTGAAATCAAAGCCTGGCTAGACAGAGATGAGGCTCCTGGGAGGGAACAGGTGCAGTCCTGCTCAGGCTGCAGTGTCCTTGGGCTGCAGCTGGATAAGGGCTCCCTGTGGGCCACAGCTTCTAGGGACAGAGTTTGGGGTAGTTTGACTGTCTGATTTGTAGGACTCTGGTGATGAGCTCAGCTGGGAAACTGTGTGGTAATGGGAAGGGAATGGTTTTGCTTTTCCAAATCGTCTACCCACTGCATGCTTGGATCCACATCGGAACTCAGTGTGGAAACTGCCTTTGAACAGCCTACGCCTGAACTCTGGGCCATATGTCCAGTTCCCGGCCTCCAGCTTTGTTTATTCTTTACCCCCAGCCATCACTGATGCCAGATCCATCCTCCCAAATATCCTTTCATCGTGTTACCCTCCCCACCACCTCATGGCACCTTCTACACAATAGGAAATGCCTTCCACCTCAGCCTGGCATTCAAGGTTCTTTGGATGTGGCTCACCTCTCACCAGCCCACCTCTCACCACTCCACCACATCTCCCTGTGGGCCCTGCTCAATTGGATCAATTTTTTCTATCCATGAGCTGAACTTTCCCACCTCCATACTGTTGCTTACACTGTGAACTTCCTGTTAATGTTCTCTCTCTCTCCCCCCACCAAGTCCAAATGCTATAAACTAAATTGTGTCTCCCCAAAATTCATACTTGGAGCCCTAACACCCTATGTGATTGTATTTGGAAACAGGCTCTTAGGAAGTAAAGTTAAGTGAGGGAAGAGGGGCAGAGTAAGATGGCTCATAGTTGTCTCTACCAATCCTTCCCCCTGCAAGAAAATCAAATGTAACAACTGTCTCCACCAGAAAACCATCTTCATAAGAACCAAAAATCAGGCAAGGACTCACAGGACGTGGGTGGTTTAACTTCATGTCGCTGAAGGAGGCACTGAGGAGGGTAGGAGAGACAGTCTTGAAACACCAATGTCACCCCTGCCCTTTCCCCTCCCCCAGCAGTCACCGCTGTGGGGCTGAGAGAGAATCTGTGCATCTAGGGGAGGGAGAATGCAGCAACTGTGGGACTTTGCCTTGGACTCAGTGCTGCCCTGTCACAGCAGAAAACAAAACCAGGTGGAACTCATGTGACACCTGCCCATGGAGGGAGCATTTAGGCCAGTCCTACGCAGAGGGCTTCACCCATCCCAGTAGTTACAAGGCTTGAGGCTTGGGTTTTCACAAGCCTTGGCATGGCAGGCTATTATGCTCTGGGGCCCTAAATAAACTTGAAAGGCAGTCTAGACCATAAGGACTTCAACTCCTAGGGAAGTCCTAATGCCATGCTGGGCTCAGAGCCAGTGGACTCAGGGAACACAAGATCTAGAGAGACACCAGCCAGGGCAGCCAAGGGAGTGTTTGCACAACCCCTCCCCCAACCCCAGGCAACGCAGCTTGCACTAACTCAAGTGACTCCCTTTTGCTTGAGGACAGGAAGGGGTAGAGTAAAGAGGACGTTATCTCACATCTTGGACAGCAGCTCAGCCACAGTAGGACAGAGCACCTGTCAGAGTTGAGAGGCCCCCATTCCAGGACCTAGCTCCTGAATTAGCTTTCTAGATATACCCTGGGCCAGAAGGGTGCATCTTTTGCCTTAAAGGGAAGATTCTAGACCTGGCAGGATTTATCACCTGCTGACTCAAGAGCCCTTGGGCCCTGAATAGCCAACAGTGATACCCAGGTAGTATGCGATGGGCCTGGAGTAAGGCTCTGAGACATGCTGGCTTCAGGGGAGACCCAGCACATTCCCAGCTATGGTGGCTGTGGTGAGAGACTTCTACTTAAGAAAAGTAGAGGGAAAGGTAAAAGGGACTTTGTCTTGCAACTTAGGTGCCTGCCTGGCCACAATGGGGTAGAGAGCACCAAATGGCCTCTTATGGTCACTGATTTTAGGCCTTGGCTCTTAAACAGCATTTCTGGGCCTGCCCTAGGCCAGAGGGGAGCCCACTGCACTGAAGGGTGAGGCCCAGGCCTGGAAGCATTCACCACAAGTGACTTAGGAGCCCTTGGGCCCTAAGTAAACATCAACAGTAGCCTGGCAGCACTCCCTGTGGGCCTGTGGTGGTGGCCACAGGGTGAGGCTCCTCTGCCTGTGGAAAGGGAAAGGCAGAGTGGGAAGCACTTTGTCTCACGGTTTCAGTGTCAGCTCAGCTGCCTTAGAATAAAGCACCAGGTAAATTTCTAAGGTTTTTTACTCCAGTCTCTGGCTCGCAGACAGCATCTTCGGACCCAGCAGGGCCTGAGGGAACTTGTTGCCCTGAAGGGAAAGACACCAGCCTGGCTGGCTTTGCCATCTGCTGACTGGAGGGTCCCAGGGCCTCGAGTGAACATAGGCAATAGCCAGGTAGTGTTGACAGGGCTTTGAGTGAGACCCAGTGCTTTGCTGGCTTTAGGTCTGACCCAGTGCAGTCCCAGTGGTGGTGGCCATAGGGATGTTGTGTCAGTCCACCCCCAGCTCCAAGTGGCTCAGCAGAGAGAGAGAGAGAGACTGTTTTTTTGGAGAGAAATTACAGTTATGGGTAGAGAATAAGGATCTCTACTGTCTGGTAGCCCAGAGAATTCTTCCAGATCTTATCCGAGACCACCAAGGCAGTTCCTCTATCAGTCTGCAAGAACTATAGCATAATTGGGCTTGGAGTATATCTAATAAAGATACACTTTAGATCACAACACCCACATCCTTTCAAATACTTGGATAGGCTGAGAAGTTGGTGGCAGCTTGAAATCAGCCATGGAACATCTGCACCACCAAAAATGGCAAACACTACAGAACAGACTCTGTTCCTGCCCCGACAGAGAGCCCCTTGGGTAACAACAGCACACCACTGCCCCATCCCTGAGCGGAGCGCTGTGTGTTGCAGCAGAGTGGGGACGGGTGTCTTCTTCCTTGGGCTACAGAATACATATTTCTTTCCTCAGCATATGGATCATTCTCAAGGACAGACCATATCTTAGGTCAAACGACAAGTCTTCAAACATTTTTAAAAATTGAAATAATATCAAACATCTTCTCTGATCACAATGGAATAAAACTAGAAGTTAGTAACAAGACAAATGTTGGAAACTATACAAACACATGGAGATTAAATAATATGCTCTGGAATGACCAGTGGGGTCATGAAGAAATTAAGAAGGAAACTGAAATCTTTCTTAGATGATAATGGAAACACAACATGTCAGAACCTACGGGATACGACAAAAGCAGTACTAAGAGGAATTTTATGGCTATAAACACCCACTTTTAAAAAGTAGAAAAGCATCAAATAAACGACATAACAATGCACCTTAAAGAAATAGAAAAGCAAGAGCAAAGCAAACCCAAAATTATTAGAAGAAAAGAAATAATACAGATCAGAACAGAAATAAATGAAATTGAAATGAAAAAACAAAGCATCCATGAAAAGAATAGTTGGTTTTTGGAAAAGATAAACAACATTGACAAACTTTTAGCCTAACTAAGACTAAGACAAAAAGAAGACCCACATGAATAAAATCAAAGATGAAAAAGGAAACATTACAACTGATACCGCAAAAATTCACAGGATCACTAGTGGCTATTATAAGCAACTATATACAAAGAAATAAGAAAACCAACTAAAATGGATCAATTTCTAGACACATCCAGCCTATCAAGATTGAACCATGATGAAATCCAAAACTTGAACAGTAACAAATAATGAGATCGAAATGGTAATAAAAAGTCTCCCAGCAAAGAAAATCTGGGACCTAGTGCTTCACTGCTGAATTTTACCAAACATTTAAAGAAAAACTCACACCAACCTTACCCAAACTATTCCAAAACTAGAGAACTTACCCAACTATTCCAAACTCATTCTACAAGGCTAGCATTACTCTGATACCAAAACCAAAGATACATCCAAAACAGAGAACTACAGGTTAATATCACTGATGAATACTGATGCAAAAATCCTCCACTACATATTAGCAAATTGAATTCAAAAATACACTAAAGTTGGGGTGCAGTGTCCCAGGTTCACTCAACCCTTCCCCTTTTCCTGTGTGTGTCTACTTTGGCTGTGCTCCTCGGGGGCAGCAGTGGTGGCAATGTTGGTGTGTGGGCCTCCCAGGACAAGGGGAAAGCGAGTGTGCCCTTCTCGCCTCCTTCCAGGTGTCTGTAGCCTGGCACCAGCTCTGGCCAGGTCTTCAAGCAAGGGACCTGGAGATGTTCTTTTCCAATTTCTGGACTGGGAAATAGAGGCAAATTCTGGGTACTAGAGTCAGAACTAAGACAAGGCTGAATCGGGGGAGTTTGGGGTCCTGAGAGGCAGAGACCAGAAACCTTCTAGAGCGTGTGGGGAGCTGGGTGTGTGTTCCGGCCAGTTGCTTTTCCCTCTGCCTCAATGTTCCAGGTACCCTTGGAGGGGCTGAGATCCTGGGGATGTCTGGAACCTGGCTGCATGGACTGGCCACCCTGATGCCCTACTTGTAGGGACATTCACAGAACAAACGGGGCAGGGAGGTGGAGCGCAGCCCCTTCCCTTGGGACCTCAGAGAGTGCACCTCTTGGTCAGAGGTGAAATGGTGTCTGACCACTGGCTCCTGGAAGGGGTAAGAAATCAGAAGGTGGGGAAACCAAGAGCATAAGGGAGTCTGGGAGGGACCACAGAGGAAGGTGGCAAAGGAGGTGTAGGGGGAGTCAGCTCACCATGGCCTCCCAGCTCTCCAGGTCCTCCAGGATGCTTGACATGGGCTGAGGCACCTCCTCCTCCTCAGTGTCCAGATGTCCTCCTTCATCTCCTGTGGGGAGGTGGCCAGAGGGGTCCTCAGACAACCCAACTAGGGAGGTACTGTGGGCCCACCTCTCCCCACCCTCACTGTGTAACCCTGACCCAGCCCTTCCCCAGAGGGGAATGAGCTGCTGTTCTTTATTTTTCCTTTTAAGCACCAAGATCTTGCTATATTTCCCAGGCACAGTCCTGCTACCACTTGGTGTGGGAGTTCTGACCTGTTCCCTTTCTGATCTGGGCCAGTCCACCCATCCTTAGGCAACCTGGTGGCCCCTCAATCCCAGGAGGTCACCATATTCATGCCAAGCTTAGTGCAGACACCCGGTCGGCATAATGACCAGCTGTTCTAAAGGTCTCTTCCAGCTCCTCAATCCTATGCTGCTGACAGTCCCCCCTTCCTCCTGGGGCTGTCTCCTTCTCTGAGTGGTCTCCTGTACCTTCTCCAGGGAGAGCCATGAGGCTCAACTGGGTCTCTAGCTGCTATTTCTGCTGGCTGGCAGCTTCTAGGCGCTCCTAAGGGGACGGGAAAGAGAGTGAGAAGGCACGGAAGATGCCAGGTCGTCCCTCTTGGGGCTCTGTCCTCAGCAAGTCCCTCCCCTGGGTCTCCTGCAGTTTTGGCAGGCCATCTCAGCCACCGGTTTTCCCCAAGCTTTCTGCTGCTGCAGTGGGTCCACGAGCTGGGTCTGCAGTAACTGCCTGTGCAGCGCCTCCTTCTCAGAGGTCAGCGGCTGATAGGTGGCCACGTACTGCTGCAGGTGACCCAGGTACTAGTCTTGCTGCTGCTCCACCACCAGGAAGACTCTGGGCATGAGGGCACGTGGTGACTGCCTTCCAGATTCTGGGCCCATTAATAGGGTAGCGAGAGCACTGTGGGGCTCTGTCACCTGCCCAGGTCCCTGGCCCCTTGCTCCAGGCCTTGGAGACTTCCTCCCGTGCCTAGAACCCCATGCCTCCTTCCCCAGCCTCAAATCTCACCTCCTTCTTCCTACCATTTAAACTGTAGGCCACAGACTGGTGGAAAACCAGAGGGAGCCAACCACCATCTGCTAAGTGTGCTACAAGCCTAATGCTTTCCATGTATTCTCTCATTTAATCCTCAGCACCTCTGCAAGCAAAATGCTAACTTGCTTTTGAAGTTAAAGAAACAGAGACTTAGAGACGCAAAGTAGTTGAATGGTGACCAGTGGAACCCAGGCCGGAATCCAGTTTGAATCTCAGGAGGCTTTTTTGTTTTGTTTTGTTTTGAAACAAGAGTGTCACTCTGTGGCCCAGGCTGGAGTGCAGTGGTACAATCTCAGCTCACTGCAACCTCCACCTCCCAGGCTCAAGCGATTCTCGTGCCTCAGCCTCCTGAGTAGCTGTGATTAAAGGCCTGTGCCACCATGCCTGGCTAATTTTTTTTTTTTTTTTTAATTTTAGTAGAGATGAGATTTCATGATGTTGGCCAGGCTGGTCTCAAACTCCTGACCTCAAGGGATTCTCCTGCCTCAGCCTCCCAAAGTGCTGGGATTATAGGCGTGAGCCACCAGCCCCGGTATAAGGAGCCTCTTATACCACTGTCTCTTCCCTTCTGATTGGGAGGCTCCATGCCTCTAGCTGGGAGTATAATGTCCAGACATGGGAGGAACCCAGGGCTACCCACCTCTAAAAGTCAGAGGGCAGGAAGCAAGAAACAGTCACAGGACTGCCCTGAAGGGTGCTGGCATCGCCTGCCCCCAGGCTGGAGCTGCCTTTGGCCTCACACCTCCCTTCCCCAGAGGCTGGTGCCCGCCTCCCAGCCTTCTTGGATGGGGCAGAGGTTACCATCTCCTTCACCTCGCTCAGCTTCTTCTCCTGCAGCTCCTTTACTTGCTGCTCCAACTGCAGTGCACTCTTGTTCTCACTGTTCTGGACAAAGAGAAGCAATCAGCAGCTACCCACTGCAGCTGGAGACCCCAGAACTTGATGTCTGCCTCCCATGTCACGGGGAAGGGTGGAGGCAGGTTAGAAAAATCATCCCCTCTCTCTCATAGTCATCAGAGCAGGGCTCTGGCTCACAGGTTCCTTTAGAAGTACCATTTCATGTGAGGGCTACATATGCCCATTTTACAGGTGGGGAAACAAAGGCATGGAGGGCCAGGGAGGAGGGCAGGCTCCCCTGGTGGGGCAACCCACCAGCTCCTGGAAGTTGTACTGTGCCTCGCCCAGCTGCTCATCAAGCTCGTGGTTCGTGGCTGATGGTGGTGCAGTCATTCTGCATGGTATGCATGTGTCTCTGCCTGCTCGTCCCAGAGCTTGGCTTTCTGCTCCAGTTCCAGCAGCCTCTTCTCCTGCTCCCTCAGCCTCTCCTCCTGCTCCCACAGCCTCTCCTCCTGTTTCCTCAGCCTCTCCTCCTGCTCCAGCAGCCTCTCCTCCTGCTCCAGCAGCCTCTCCTTCTCCAGCAGCCTCTACCTCCTGCTTTCTCAGCCTTTCTCCCTGTTCCCGCAGCCCCTCCTGCTCCAGCATCTCTCCTCCTGCTCCGAAAGCCTCTCCTGCTCCAGCAGCCTCTCCTCCCACTCCCACAACCTCTCCTGTTCCAGGACTATGTAGAACAGTTCTTTTAAAAACCAGACCACGGGCTGGAAATGACTTGATCTTTACTGACCGAGTTGTATACTGAGCCTACCCCTTGCCCTTTTAAGGGGCACTGTGTGGAATGGCCTGGGCTCCCCACATCGAAACTTCTCATCTTCACCATCCAGTCCTCGAGCTGCTGTGTGGCCTCCGAGCTCTGCGTCCAGTGCTCGCTCCCCACGGTGCCCCCAACTCACCCACAGCAGCTGACTCACCCCAGGCTGCCTCTAACAACCATACACAAAAGCAGCGAGAAATGAGCATGCTGCCTTCTGGGCAGGACACTGCATCCTGCAGAAGGGACCTTCAGGCTCACTCCTGCATCTGGGAAGCCAGGCTGCCAGGGGACGGGGCAGCTCATTGGACTCACCCTGTCCTCTTCCTGCTGCTGCATGGAGACAGCAGAGGGAGCCTGCTCCAACTCTCCAATACGCTGCAAGGAATATTGCAGGTGGCTGGTCAGATCCTTGGATTCTCCTGTAATGAAAGAGGTTGAGATGGGGCCCAAAGGACTCCCCCTAAAGACCTGTCAAAGTGCTAGGTTGAAGGATAACAGGGTGCCAGATTCCCACCCTCGAAGGGAGTGGCGGCACGTTTAGTATGGTAAACTGTGGTCTTCAAGTCTGCCTTTTCCAACATGAGGATGTTGATTGTCTGGAATTGAACCTTTGGGAGAAAAGCCAAGCAAGCACTGAAAGAGAAGGAAAGAAACATTCTTGGGAGGACAGGAGAAAACTCCACACCTTCCACTCACCCCTAACTGCTCTGTTTGTGCTTTGTGTATTTCCATAGTTTGCTTTCTTTTCCTATAGGAAGAGGAAGACAGAGCCCTTACCCGAAGGAGACAGAGATGGCCACAGCAAGAGACATGCCACCAGCATGCCACCAATGCCCCAGGCCAGGCCCACCCATGGGACCAGGTTACCGGGGGATAACCTGGAAGGATGGGGTAGAATCTGAGGGGTGAGCCTTCTTCCCCAGGCTGGGAGTGGGCGACATGAGACTGGCACCTCTACATTTGAGTGCCTCCCAAACGCAGCAGTCATGAATTCCCCCCAAACCCAGCATTTATATCGTGAACAAAAAAAAAAAAAAAAAAAAAGTTACTTCTTCAGCTGATGTTCCACTTGTTTCTTCTGTTGTTTCTGTGGGGAGAGTCAAATTCAGGTGACTGACGGGGCTCTATTCCCAGACCAGGATGTGGTAGGCGGGGGCCAGGAATGGATTTTAAAGGCAAAGTTCTCAGGCCAAGTGGCAACACGAACTGGTCAACTCTCCTCAAGCTCCCAAAGACAGAGGATTTGGGTCTTTGTTGGTTTTCGCCAATAGCCACAGAACTCAAAATCTGAATCTGGATTCTCTCGAAAGGACAGTAACATAAACCTCTAGAGATGGAGTCTGAGAAAGGCCCACCCTTCTGCCAGCTTGTGATTTAGAAAGGTGTGTTCATTCAACAAACATTTACTGAGCACATACAAGCCAGGTACGGTTCTTCACAGCAGAGATACAGGACAGAAAAGGACAGACGAGAGCCCTTGGCCCTGAGCTTTCCATTCTAGGGTCCCAAATCTCCGACTCTCAGAGCTAACAGAGACCTTTGATACTCTCTACCTCCTCTGGAAACATGAGCCAACGGAGGAGAGGTGGCTTGTCCAGACTCAAGGGCAAATTAGAGACTGAGTCAGGGCAGAAATATGGGGCCCCTGACAACCAGTCAGACTAGTGCTTCCCTGAGAGGTGACAACCCCAGGGTGTGTGTGGCAAGGACTGGAGCAGGGGTGTCTGAAGAAGAGAGAGTTGGCAAAGAAGGGAGTGACAGAAGAGCCATGCTGCATCCTCCTTGCTCTGGGGTCCCCCAGGTGAGGCCTGGGTGCTTCAGCTCCCCATCTGCCCATTGGACCAGGGCCCTCAGCCCCTTTCTTCAGAGCCCAAGGGGAAACTAAGGCCCAAGATTGGCAGCGTGGAATCAGGAGACCCCACTGGACTCTTACCAATGATTCTACGTTTTCATTGAGTTGATTGATTGTTGCGGAGCTTGAGTCCAGGGCTACTTCCAGTTCTTGGTACCGGCTCTGAGGCGCATGCAGAGAGGAGGAGTTGGAGGAGGACTGCGGGGAGAGGTAGAGAGAACAATCATTAGGGCTGGGGTGTATGTGGACTGTCTCAGTTGGCAGAGGGGCACCCAGCTCCCGCTGTGAGAGGAGGTTGGAGGGCTGGCCTGCAGGGTCACTGCACCCTGGCCCAGGGCCTCTTACCTCCTGATCCTTCAGGGTAGCAGATGATGCAGGGGTAATAAAAATGAGAAATTCAAAGAAACAAAAACTTACATGGGAAACATCTCTATACGGATATAGAGAAAGTATAAAAACAGCAAGAGACCATGCACGGTGGCTCACGCATGTAATCCCAGCACTTTGGGAGGCTGAGGTGGGTGGATCACTTGAGATCAGGAGTTCAAGACCAGTCTGTCCAACATGGTGAAACTGCGTCTCTACTAAAACTACAAAGATTAGCTGGGCGTGGTGGCAGGTGCCTGTAATCCCAGCTACTCAGGAGGCTAACGCAAGAGAATGCTTGAACCCGGGAGGCAGAGGTTGCATTGAGCCAGGATTGCACCACACCACTGCACTCCAGTCTGGGTGACAGAGTGAGACTCCGTCTCAAAAACAAAACAAAACAAAAGCCCCAAATCCAACATGCCTGCTCTGTACTAAGCCAGAGGAGGGATAACCAGACCGCACTAGAACACAGAATAGGGGCATGGCCTCAATGCTCCCAAGCCCATTGGTTGATGAGAAAGATGAAAGGGAAAGGAGGTGTGGCCAGGCAGCAGCATGTCCAGAGGACCTGTGGCATCACAAGGAAAGCTGCCCATGCAACCGCTGGCCCCTCCCTTCTCCCAGAGTGGGAGGGGCCGGCTTTCGCTGGGTGTCTGCTTAGCTTTCTGCGAGACTATTCACACTGGTGGTCAGAGTTCCTTTCCAAGAAGACCTGAGAGGCCACTTTTCTGTCTCCTGCCCTGGACCCTCCTGTGCCACTGAACCTCTTTCCTGAGGGTCTCAGACCCCAGGGTTCAGGAGGTGGGTGAGGAGTGGACTTCACAGTTTCTTTCCTGACTCCTCACAGCCCTGCCCCAGACTTCCCCTTCCCAGAAATCACCTCCAAGGACCCCACACAGTGCTCCCCACAACCTCCCTCTCAGAACACCCCCTTCCTAGAGGGTCCCTACCCTGATCCTGGGGACATATCTGCCCCCTTTCCAGTTGGATCCAGTCCCAGGCACTCCTACTTCCCAGCTGCTCTTCCTCCTGCACCCACACAATACCCCTTTCTCTCAGAGTGGGCCATGGGTCTAATCAGCCTTTCCCTCGGATTCCTCTCCTTGACTGAACCAGGACTTACACAAGTTGCCACGGGGCCTTCTGATCCCCTGCGAGTATGTCTTTCCCGCCCCCCATCCCCACCCCCCCGCCCAGTCCCCATCCCGACCCTCCCTCCGTGTGAGTCATTGCCTCTCCTGGCCCTCCTCTCCATCCCAACAGCAGCTGATCCCCACTCTTCCAGGTCTTCTCCCAGCTGACTGAGGACCTCCAGGTCATTTCTCAATCCCTCCCCTTCCTTTCCTCCTGCCCCCCAGTCTTCAAATAAGTGCTGTCCTGTCCTGTCCTAGGCCAACTCCTCTCCCTCCCCATCCTGTCTCCTGCCTCTACAGATGCCTTTCACTCCAGTCCAGCACTAGCCATCTCTCCTGCTCACTGGTTTCACCCCTTACTCAGCCCTACTTTAAACAAACCCACAGCTCCCCAGTCAGGAAAATGCTTGGTGTTTACCTGGCCACTTCTTTAGCTGCTAATAGTCTCTCCTTTCTTTTGCAAGCCACCCCCAAAACTCAGCCTCCACCTTCTCTCATCCCCCAGATGGAGTTGCCACTACCACTACCTCCACTCTCAAGTTACATTGTGAAAGACTTGGTATTTGTTCATTAATTTAGCAACTGCTGGGATGCAGGTTTGTGCCAGATGGCCCCTGCCCTCCAGGAGGCTCAGGCAAAAAGCCAGTTGCAGGACAAGTATGCACATGGTTCTGAGAGGGGGAGCCCAGGCTTGGGCTTGCAAAGAAGCCTCCCCAGAGATGGCAAGGTCAGAGGCAAGGCCAGAAGGGCAAGCCACAGTGAGCCCACATGATGATGACAGGGAGGCAACCAGTTTGCCAAAAGCATTGGGCTGATTTTGCTTCGCTCTGAGAATGAGTTGGTATCTGCTAACTTTGACCATGGGTGGCTGATGCAGATCATGCCTTTCTCATTCATGCTAATTCATTCCTTCCCTTTTATTTCTTTTTTTGGAGACAGGGTCTCACTCTGCCACCAGGCTGGAGTGCAATGGCACAAATGGGTTCACGGCAACCTCTGCCTCCCAGGTTCAAGCCATCCTCCCACCGCAGCCTCCCCAGTAGTGGGACCACAGGTGTGCGCCACCACACCTGGCTAATTTTTTCATAAAATTACCCTTGTACAGACGGGGTTCGCTGTGTTGCCCAGGCCGGTCTCGAACTCGTGAGCTCAAAGCAATCTGCCTGCCTCAGCCTCCGAAACTGCTGGGATTACAAGCATAAGCCACTGTGCCCGGCCTGGAAAAAAAAAATCCACTTCTAATCTAGCAAATTTTGTGTTCTTGTTTACTATTTTAGCATTAATAAACCAAGTGACTTACATTCTCCTCATGAGCTGTATGCTAGGAATAAAAGCTTGCCACGGTGGAATTATCTAAACTAGAAGAAATCAATACCAGGGATCCCAACAAAAATCACCACAAGGGGCCACATATTCATTTCATTTGATAGATTTCTGGAAAAAATGTTTGCCATAGCAAAGTGGAGAGAGGGGAGCCAAGCAGCAAAATACATCTGTAGTGAGGTAGAGAAAACAGTATCCACTAGAAATCTTTTCAGGAAGGTGCCATTTTGGGTTGGAGAAACTCCTTGAAAGTTAATTTGGGGAGAAGGAGAGTCCTTGAGGGACCAGGGTAAAGTCAGAACGTTTCCTGGGAGAAAGGGGAAATTTCTCTGGCTAATAAGGGCACAGTGCTGGACAGGGTGAAGAAGAAAAAGTCAGTCAAGAGTGGTACATTTCAGAACATGAAAGGCCTCACACTGCATAAAATGGACTACACCTTAAGACTTCCAATTTTCAGTAAGACTCTTAGGCCCATATAAAATTCAGGGGCCTGTGGATTTTTTGGTGTGGACACACTGAAGAGAAGATGTATGTCTAATTGGAAGGGCGAGACTTCAGTATAAATTGGGAATTTAGAGTATAGCAAATTAGTCAGACATTAGATATAAGTAAGCAAGTTTTATGAACAGTTCACCAAGAAATACAAATGGCTTCTTTAACATATGAAATATAACTGTGCAAGGAAAAAAACATGCAAATAGTTTCCAGAGATACTTTCCATTTCTTGCATTGGCAAAGAACAAAAATTTCACTGACGTAATTGTGAGGACAAATGCATTCACTAGTGGGATTGGTAAAATTCCATTGAGAGCACTTGGCAGTAACTATCAAAATTAAAAATGCACATAATCTTTAACTTAATTATTTCAATTCTAGTAATTTATTCTATAGGCATAGACATGGGAAATGACTTTACATACAAAGATATTCAATGCAGCATTATTTGTAATAACCAATGCCTAAAACCAACCTAGAGAGAGGTTAAATAAAAGTCCATATTATATGGTGCATGAAAAAGAAAGAGGCAACTATTTACATATTAATATAGAATAATTGCCAAGATACATTATTAACAGATAAAGTGCAGAAAATGCATATAGTATCTGTATTAATGAAAGGCAAAAATAAAGAGGAATAATATATACATAATTGCTTGTATACTTAGAAAATATTTCGGGAAGGATATTCAAAATGCTAAAAGTGGTTCTAAAGAGGAGAACTGGGTAGCAGGGGGACAGGGAAGAGAAGACTTTTTACTCTATACCT